TACGCCCTGCCACACCTTGAGTTCTGCTCAGAGCACCTGAGGTACTGTCTTTCTCAAATTGGAATTAATAATTAATATAAAAAGCTTGAAAAAAAATCCGAATTTTGTTACATAGTGTAATAACTGTTTGTAGATACTGTTCTGAGATGTAGGAATCTATTGGTGATATAAGAGGTTTTGTCTGTAAATAATCAGTTTAGAGTCCAAATGATTTTAATAAAGAAAATTCTTACACAATAATTCAATAAATTTTAATATACAACCTGTGTGTCATGCTTGTATTGCATGATGATGCAATTGCCCAGAATCTATTCACCTCTCTTTCCTCCTAAGTGGAAACTGTACTGAGCACCGGGACCAGGGAGCTGTGCCAGGAGCGTGGGGCTTTTCCCGCCTGCCCCCTCCGGAGTCTGTGAGGTATCGGCTGCGTTTCTTTGAGATAACCTTGTGCTACCTTCCACTTCGCGGCACTTCTGCAGTTTCCAGAGCTCAAACACCATCCCAGCTCGCCAGGAGGGGGGAACCTGCCTTCACAGAGGAGTTTCAGTCTCCTGCTGCAGGAGCTGGGCTGTAGCTGCCAGGAGTGGGGGCACGTGGCACGTTACAGCTCTGGTTGTGGTTTTCTACTGTGGGTAAGCGGGGAGGGGGTTGCTTAAAGTACAATTTATCTTGATTGCTGTTGTCCACCAGCGTGAGGCAGGAACCAGTGTTCCTAAATTAGCAAAACAACTTCATTCTTAAACTAATCGCACAGTTCTTCCCAGATCTAAAGCTGGCTCCTGGCCCATCTATCCTGTCTTTACAGGCTGCTTCTCCCCACTCTTATCTATGCAATGTCACGGCTTTAGTCCTTCCTTGCCGTACATGTGTGTGTTCTTGCTGGCCTTTTAGGGGTTACAAATCACTTGTTCCCCCGGGTGCTGCCCCGGCACTCGCTCAGCACCCAGCCTGCTGCAGCCTCTGCCCCCTCCCGTGTTATTTTTAGCGCGGGGGAGGCAGGTGAGAGGAGAGGGGCACAGGCAAGGGGAGAAGCGCTCCGGGAGGCCCCGACCTCTGTTTGGCAGCCTGGATCTGCAGCAGAGCTACTGCTCGGCAGCGTTAACCCTTTGCTTCAGGGCTAGGGCTTGGTCTCCGCAGGCTCAGGGCGGAAAACCGAGCTGTGCAACACCAGGGCCCCAGCGCGGGGGAGGCCGGGGCATGCCTACCTCTGGTGCAAGGCTGCAGCATGTGGCAGTGGGGAAAAAAAAAAAGTGATTTTTTTACTGTATGTGGCCTTGTGCTCCTCACGGGGGAGGCTCGGGCCCCCCCTGGGGGGGCCCCAGCCGCTGGGCGAGCGGGGCTGCCGGGAGGATGCTGCTGTTGTGGTTGCTCTCCACAAAAAGGCAACGGGGGAAGCGTGGGCTCTGTGGTCACCCGCACCATGCTGCGGTTGCGTTTGGCTGCCTGTGGGCACTGCTGGGGGAGGCTGAGGTGCCTCAGGTCGGGCAGTGGGGCACACGGGTGGGCTTGGGGAGCCTGTCCCCTCTGCCAGGCACAGGTCAGGGACTATTGTGCCAGGCAGGGACAGGAGACACTGCCACAGCGGCGAGGCTGGGCCAAAAGTCCTGCTGACACGCTGCTGGGAGCGGTGGGAAGGCAGCCCCATGGTTTCTGGGTCTGGGGATGGAGCAGAGGGGAAGGATTTCTCTGTTTCCATCGCGGTAGAGCTGTGAATTTCCCTCTATAAATAGTTGCTGTGGAGACTGTGGAGCTGTAGCAGGCTGACAGACCTGCTGCCAGGGAAGCCGGGGGAGGCAGGGAGAGGCCAGCAGTAAAGTGAATCCACCGCAGCTGTCCTAGGTCTCCTGCTATCCCGAAGCCAAGGTTGTTCCCAGAAGTGGTGCTGTGATCCGATACCCTGCCCCGCTCCTCATCACGTCCATCCAGCAATGCAGAAGAGTTTGGTCTGCTCAAGGACGGCCCTCCCGGGCAGTGCAGACTAAAAGGAGAGCAGGACCAGCTGGTATCTCACTTTGGGGAGCTCCAGAACGAGCCAGATGACAAACGGAGCGGCATGCCCTGCTGCTGAGCTCCTGCACGGTAAGTCTGCGCAGGGCCCCTGAGGCTCAGGGCCCCTGGGGCTCCGAGTCCTGCATGCCAACGGGGCTGCTTTTACGCTGCATGTTGCGACTTGCAGGGATGCTGCATTCAGCAAGGACTTGCCAGGTCTGTGCTTGTGCAGAAGGTGAAGGCGTGTATCACTGGTGAGCTCTGTGACTCCAGAGGTCCAGGCACCATAAGGCATAACCGGTGGTGGGCAGCTCCGTACACTGCTCCGTGCAGGTCAGGTGGAGTGGTCCAGGCCAGAGGCGAAGCACCGCTCCCTGCCTATGGCTCTCGCAGACCAGGCAGGACCAGTATGTTTTTGGGCTGAAGTTCTCTGACCTGGTCCAGGTCTGCGGCAAGCCAGTAGGTTCTGCACAACGTAGCTTTGAATGACAAAAGCAAAGTAACTGTTGTTTTAAGATAAAGATGTCAAGCAATGAAGGACTTTAAAGCATTGATCGTCCTTTATCACAAAGCTTAGAAAAGTACATTTCAGTCTCCTACATCAAGTTGCATAGCAACGCTCCTCATCGTTTGCCAGTGCATCCACGTAATGAGGGTGGATGGAGGTAAAGTCTCGCACACCTGAGGATGGACCTGCCTCGCCTCTGTGGTGAGAAGGACAGCAGGGCCTGATGAGGTGAGCTGCTGTCTTGGTTTCTGCTGGGATACTAAGAAGAAAATTAACTCTGTCCCAGCCAAAACCAGGACAGCTGGCCAAAAGCTCCATCAGCCTTAGCGCTAGGACACGTTTTACATTTCAAGTCTGTCTTTGGATCCTGCTTGTCCACCGAAGTCTCCTATTACCGTAACAACCTGCCTAGGGAAGATGCTGTTGCACTCCCATTTCCACACACTTTTGGGTTTTCCTTCGGCAGGTGAATGGTGAGTGACACCATAAAATCTTTAAGGCTATTGCCCAGCTCTCAGATCAGCCCCTGCTGTCCTCACGATGTGAGTGAAGAGGGCTTGGGTAGACTCTGGCCGTACAGGAGTGTGCAAGGTCACTGATATGCTCAGTCTGCGCACAAATAAGGAAAATTTTGATTTCGCCTCTGTTTCATAGTTAAGATGTTAGTAAGTTGGCTCTTATGTGTGTTTGGAAAAAAGTAGTCCTTCGTACATAGACAGATCTCTTTTAGGACACTTTTAGGACGAGAGGAGATGGCCTCAAGTTGCACCAGGGGAGGTTTAGACTGGACATTAGGAAAAATTTCTTTACTGAAAGAGTGGTCAGGCCTTGGAACAGGCTGCCCAGGGAAGTGGTGGAGTCACCATCCCTGGAAGTATTTAAAAGACGTGTAGACGAGGCACTTAGGGACATGGTTTAGTGGGCATGGTGGTGTTGGGTTGACAGTTGGACTTGATGATCTTAGAGGTCTTTTCCAACCTTAATGATTCTATGATTCTAAGTATTTGCTGAAAAGAGTGCCCATATGGACATGCAGCATCCTGAAGGTTTATGCCTAAAAGAGACTGATTCTGAATAGTGCATGTGCCATGGTTAGAGGTGTAAAAACGTAAGGAGGGGGAAGGATTTTGAGCTCCTTTCACACACTGTATGGGCTTGGGTGAATGGAGCAACATCAGCTCTGGCAATTCGGGTTGTCCCTCACAGGATTGGAGTCTCGAGCTCAGTCTGACCCTTAATTAGAAACATGCTGGGAGCTTGCTGGGTACCCAAAGGCAGGCTGCACCTCTGGTTTCTGTGCTGGGAGAGGAGCATCAGAACATGGAAAGAAACCTTTGTCTTTTGGTGAAGTCCTGCCTCTGTCTCAACACCTGGAAGATGTGAAGATGTTCTGGAAGACCAGAACAACTCCCTGTCTTGTGGCTCCCACTGCCACCACCACCACCAGCCCACTATAACTATTTCTGAAAATCCTCCGGTGTAGACGAGCTCTTAGCTTTAGTGACCTGATTTGAAGGATTTAAAGGTCAATATTTCTACCCATGCTACTAGCCTACTGGGATTATTATCACCTGTCACGAGCTCTGGCAATGTGTGTTAGCCTGAAGCTTTGGCTGTACAGCAAGTGACGCTTCCAAATTACAAAAGGCTGGGTTGGGAGTACCCCAGCGACGGCAGCTTACATCTATATTTCCATTAGCAACACAGGCTCTGGGCTGCTATTTCAGGTGACGGTGCTGAAGCCAATTCTACACTGGTGCTGCAGGGCGGAGGGACAGCAGTTGCATCAGTCTGTCTGTACCATCTCGGTGTTTGTACCTTGGGCTGTCATAGTAACAAACCCCGGGAACAGCCTCCCTCTCCATCACAGCCTCTCGCTAGAGTGTCACAGGACGGTCAGTGATAAACCCGTGCTCCGGGCTGGGCTGCGGACAGATGTGCAGTGCTGCAGTTCCTAAAACGCAGGCTCTACTTTGCACCCGTCCGGGGCGTGAAGCTACTCCTGCCAGTGAAAGCCAGGACTTGTCCCCTCCTCAGCCAGGATGGGGATGGGGACCGGGTGCTTTCTCCTGCTGCAGCCGCAGGAGGGGATCCTGCAGTCCCCGCTAAGCCCCTGAAAATCCACAGGAGGCACAGGGAAACCTGAGACTCCCACCTGGCCCTGGCCCGGCGGCACACCGCCAGGATCCCTGCCAGGCCCCAGCCTGCCAGCTTTCCTCTTCTGAACTCTTAAAATAATCCCTGCCTCCGTGAAGTGCCAAAAGCATTTGTAACAGCCCGTCCCCAGGGGCTGATGAAGCAGATGGGAAGGAAGGGGGCGAGGGGAGAGCAGGGTAGAAGAGGGAATCAATGTGCGTGGCATGCAGCAGAGGTACAGCTGCCCTGCAGCTCTCCAACTCTCTTTAAAGGAGTAATACGCTGAAGATTGCACCGCTCGTGCCCCACGACCTGGTTCCCCACTGCCTCTGTCTCCTCGTGCCAGGATCTGCTGCGCCGCTGGGCCATGGAGGAGCAAGTGCAGGAGGAGGTGCCGGCAGCCCAGCGCACAGGTCAGTCCTCGGGCGCGCAGCTCCAGAGTCGAGATCGTGCCAGGTTCTTCCCAGGCCAGAGGAGGCCACCGGGACCTGTCTGGCCGTTCCTCTGGGAGGACGGCTGTCTTCAGCTGCTTTTTCAGTCTAAGAGCATTTACAGATGTCAGTAATGTCTCTTGGCGATGGTCCCCACAGGAGGCCACCACCCCGTGCGGGAAGGAGAGGTGTTCAACACGCGATACCAGGCTCTGCGCAAACTGGGCTGCGGCGCCTTTGCCACCGTCTGGCTGTGCCAGGACACGAGGTGAGGGACCCACCAGCTTTCGGGGAGGCGGGAAGGGGTGGCTGATCTCCTGGGGAGGACCTGCCCCTCTTGCAGAAGCAGCAGAGCACAGCTGCCTGCCTGGGAGCACATCGGCATCCCCCAAGTACGGGGCAAACCTGGCAGTGAGATTGCTGGAGTGCAATGAGCAGAGCTGGTCCCCAGAAACCAAAGAACATAAATGAGGTGTGATCAGTCCTTGCTCTGCGTTTGCTCTTCTCATTTAGACTCTGCAGTGTCCATGCTCTGCCTTTCTCTCTCCAGTCCCTTGCTGGTCCCCGGGGCAGCCGTGCTGCCAGATGCCGGCAGCATCGCCAGGAGGGATGCCCGCGGGCCTGGCGTGCTGCAGACCAAGGGCAAGGCTGGTTGCAGGAGGGCAGCACCCACCCGCGGAGCCCAGGGCTGGGTGACTGGGAGAAGAGGAGGTGCTGCTGGTTAGGGCCACACTGGCATGTGTTGGTTGGCAGCTGTGATTCATTTCCCAGGAGGAAGAAACACGTAGCCATGAAGGTCCTGAAAAGCAGGGAAGGCTTTGCTGAGACTGCCCAGGACGAGGTTGCCCTCCTCCGCTGTGTACGTATATTCTGGGGCTCTGTGCTTTGCTCCGCGGGGATGGCCACTGAGTTCAGGTCTGAGTATCAGCCTCATCATCCCTTCTCCCTCCAGGTCTCGGTCTGAGGAGCTAGGTGGGGAACAGAAAACAAAAAAAAAGTTAGATAATTCATGGAAATCGCCTTGGCTCCGTACTGGCCTCTGAAACAGGCACCTTCTCCTTACTCCTGTCATACTGGGACATGCTGGCTCTGTCCCACTTGCCCTGTCAGCCCATTTCTTTCAGTTGAGACCAAAATCCAGTAAATTGGAGGAACCTGCAGAAAAATAAGGCAGATAACCAACAGAAAAAAAGTGGTAATGTTCTTAAGCAGGAGATGGGAGTGTGTTCACTGTATTTGTGTCATTCCCAGCTCAGAGAGCATTGCTCTATCACAACACTGATACTGAAGTAAAAGGAAGTATCTGAACAAAAAAAAAAATGCAGGATGTAGCAAAAATATAATAAACCTCTGAAGTCAGAAAGCTTCCTCCTGCCTTTGCTAATGGATGTGGTAATTAGGTGCCTGTAGCTGGGTCTCAGCTAGTTGCCTTTGAAGGTGGCTTGACCTGCTAGTTCTAGACCTGCTAGTTCTAGAAAGCTCGTGGTTACAATTCTTCGAGTTTGCCTAAATACAAAGTTACATCAGCTTTAGATGAGTAAAAGCCATTAAATTTTGCATTTCAAATTACTCTGAGGCCTTTCTCCAACAGGTTTGAGAAAGGTTTAGTTTGCGCCTGTAAATCTGCAGGCCCTATCCAAAGGGACCTGAGCCAGACTTCGTGATGCAAGAGGAAGTACCAAGTGGCACTAATTTAATGTAATCAGAGGGCTGCTTTTCTATACATCAGCACAATCCTACGTATAGACCGAGCCCTACTCTTAATTTATTACTGATTCTCTCTGAAAGACATGCCTTCCATTCAGCAGAATATAGCTGGTTCCCAGGGCTGTTCCCACTGGCACAAGGTGGTGGGTGCCTGCGGAGCTGCCAGGAGAGGCAATCTGGTCTCCCCTGCTGCCAGGGCTGCTCACCTCTGTCGTGCCAGCACAAACCCGGTGCTGGTGCAGGCGGATCTGGCAGCTGCACAACGTGGCAAACCAAAATCCCAACAGTTATGGCTGTGAGGAGAAAAAAAACAAGTGTGAATTGCTGTACCAGGAACAGTGCTCTGTGGAGCAAACTCCTGATACACCTTGCCACGCAGGTGTACAGGGCTGGTGCAAGAGCTGGGGGCACTGTAGCACCTGTGCTTGGGCAGACCCGGGGTTCACCCAGCCCAGCACCCTGGGCCAGCAGCAGATATCCAGACAAGGGTACGGACAAGCTAAGCACGGGGTGCTGCTCCCCCTGAATGCTCCCCTGGCCTACAGCAGTTTCCAGCTGGAGATTTCTTGGGCTAAGGGTGATGTCTGTGCGGGCAGTAATTCTCAATGGCTTTACTTTCAAGAGACCTGCGAGCTTCAGCATCTGCAGCCCCCGTGACGAGAACTGCCACCAATTACCCATGTGCTGCGTGAAGACCCATCTCCTCTGCTTTGTTTTTGAACTTCCCAAGTGCTAGGTTTGATGCCCCTTGGTTCTTGTACGAAAGATCTGTGTTCACCCCCTCCACAACCACCACTCTCTATCTTATAGATCTCTGCAGTACTTGCCCATAGCCGACCCTTTTTCAGCCCAAAGAAGCCTACTTTGCTGGGTTCCTCCAGACATGGAAGCTGTGCTCTACCCCAGTAGGACAGGTAGCCTTCAAGTGGCCAAGGACAACTACAAGGTCTCTGCCTCTCTGCAACCCCTTGTGAGAAATTGCTGAAGGGAAGGTGTGGGTTTTAAAAGGCGATGTTCCAGCCTGCTACTGTCAGCCAGGGAGGGACAGGGCCATCCCTGCTCTGAGGAGAAGCAGCAGAGGCTGCAGAAGGGCAAAGGAAATGGACAGCCATTGCTTCTGGGAGCAGGGAGCTGTGGTCTTGGGGGAATCCCCTTCCAGCACAAGCAGGAGCACTTTCTGGGCCTGCATGGGATAGAATAAGCAGCAGGAAGTGTGCTAGACACTGTTAGCAGGATCGGTTTGAGTTATTCGGACAGTGTGAGGGTGACAATCCCACCTGGTCAAGAGCTAGACAACATACAGAAACTCATTCCTTGGTAAGAGACTCTGCTTGTGTGTTTGGAGCCTGGTTTTCCTGATGCTGTTTACACGGGATTTGTCATGAAGTGCTAACTCCTGGAAAAAAAGTCTGTAGAATGGGATAAAACGGGTGCAAGGTGTCCTTGTACATATATATGTCTCTAATTGCAGCTTTCTTGGAATCCTCCCCCTCAGGTGAGCAGTATGAAGAAGAAGGACCGGGCAGGAGAAAACATTGTCTGTTTGTTAGACGACTTCAGAATGATTGGAGAGAACGGCTTCCATATCCTTCTGCTGAGAGTGCTGCAGTTCTGGGTCAGCAAAGCCTGGGCTTGCCTCGGAGAGTCACAGGATGGTGTAAAACCAAGTACTGTGCTCCCATGAGCAGGGCAGTAGCTGGACCGGGGCACATGGAGGTGGCTGGAGGGGAGAGGTTGGATAAGGAGATATTTGACTGCTCTGGTGAAGGGCAAAAGGCTGGTGGTAGCATCTTCTCTCTGTTAGTGAATCCCTGACTCTTCCCCACATGTGTGCTTGGTATTTGAGGCGCTGGGTCCTTCCCTGCGATGTCTGATGGGTAACTACGTAGCCCAGGGACTGCCCTTGCCTTTTGTGAAAAAGTCTTTACAGCAGGTGAGAACTTAGCTGGAACTGGGTGAGGGCACCAAGGGACCGTTGGCTGGGGAACATGCCATAGACTTCATCTTGGGGTCATCTGCCATGAACTCCATGACTGCATCTGCAAAGAAAAGGGACAATACAGAGCGAGTGCCTAAGACCTGCATTTATTTTAAGGAAAACAGTAACTATTTCTTTTGGGTATAAGGAGAGAAAACATTAAATAAAATGCAGAGTGGGAAGTCATCACATTCCCATTAACACAGGGGCACTGCGTGTTACTGCCCAAGCCCGTAGTCTCACCGGGTTTGAGGAGTCAGGACCACCATGAAGAGTCAGCAGACCTGCACCAGGGATTCAGGGGTGGCACTTGTGTTCCCATCATCTCAGTGATCATTGAATTCTCCAGCAGTTTTGGTGCTCGCAGGAGTAGCAGGGGGACAAACAGCCTGCCATAGTTATGCTTCTTGTGGGCAAGCCATGTATCTCTCTGCCCTCCCGCTGCCCTGAGAAGTCCCCTCTGGCAGCAATGCCAGACTGCTGGCATTCATCTCGGCATCCAGCTGCGGATAGCACTGGCAGATCTAGCAGCTTTCTGCATGGTAGCACCAAAGGCTGCTTGAGGTCTCCCTCAGGACTGATGTCTTTCCAGGGCTTTCTAAATTGCTGGTTCAGTTGGCTGGTCCTCCACCCATGTTGAGGTTTTCCTGCTCAGAGCCAACTCTTCCTTCATCCCCTGTAAGGATGTGGTGTGCTGATCAAACAGACCGTGAAAACTGAGTTTCTTATGTATCGGCTGGGAATAGCTAAGAAATGGGAAAACTGAGCGAGGCCTCAGAATAGCTGAGGCTGAATTACATTTTGTCTCTCATGCTGAGATTTATCAGAAGTCTGTACACTTGCCAAGATGAAGATTTGCTACCCTGATTCCTGTGCCATTCTAGGGACACTAAGAAAGAAAACCACTTCCTCCTTCATCCTGTTTTCTGGAGTAGCCTCTTCTTCCTCTAAAGCAGCTCCACTAACACCTCAATAAGTTATACAAAAAAGTAGTGACATTAATCTACATGCCCCATTTCACACCCAAGCCTTTTGCTTGATCCATTCCCTTATCTCCTTTAATTGCAAAATCTCAGAATCTCTTTTCCCCTTCAGATCAGCACTGGGGCAGTATTTACTTCTGATTCATTCCAGTTTAGCTATTTAAATCTTTCCCCGTGTTTCACAGTTACCATTTAAGGTTGGTATTTCCCTGGGGCTGGTGTTCATCCCAGAATAGAATTTGATAATACAGAGAATATTTGCCAGCCCTTTACAACTGACCAGAGTGTTTAAAAAAAAAAAATACAAATCTCCCAGCAGCGTTTTCACTGTTATTGATTTTTTGATAGCGACTGTTTCTCTGGTAGGCGTTGTTTATCTCTCCCCTGTGACAGGCCAGACTCTCCCTGCTCCATCATAAGCTCTTCCCTACATGGCTGCACTACCCTTAAGTCCTCTCTAGACACACTCGCTCATCGTCTCTCCCTCCTCCTGTCTGGGTTATGCTGCACCTCTTTTTCTTTCCTTGTACGATGGGACGCCCTCCCATGCCATGTTATTCTATAATCGGCCCCCAACTTCCATTGAAATTATAATCAGCAAAAAAATAACCAGCAGCAAGGCGTGGTGGTCCGAGGACGTAACAGCCATACGAACAGGAGTGTTTTTTTAGGAGAAAGTTCAGCTTTGTGATCGTAATGCCTCCTCGTAGCCCTATCCTCTTTCCATCTCTCCGGGCTTGCCCATCCATGCTGACACCTGTGTATTTTCACACTGCCTTCTGCTGCGTGTCACCCCCAGCTCCCCCAAATAGCCCCTTCCCCGCTGGGCTCCCCAGGCCCCCTCTCGCTCGGCGTGCTGGGCACGTGGGGCGCCGGCACCCGCTCCTCCTGCCACCTCTCGCGATGAAACCCCTTGTGCCTGCTCCCACAGGGCCACCCCAACCAACGCCACCGCTCTGCTGGCTGCACCTCCAGCTCAGTACAGGGCACTCACTACACAGGAACAATTTATTGCAGATAGTTGTCATCGGTGCCCCCTTTCTCCAATATCAGAACGTCCACAACTTGCATATCTACTGTGCCTGGCTGCTCTGACAGCACTGACAGCCGCTGGGGCAGGGGAGGCGGTGGGGACCCCGGCGTTGCTGACGTGACTTGCTGCCCACTTGCCCAGGTGCTGGCAGGGCTGCACTTCCTGCACAAGCGCTGCCGCATTATCCACGCGGACATCAAACCGGAGAATGTCTTGCTGTACGGACATGACAAAAGCCTCCAAAGGCTTCTGCCCGATATGTTCGACTGTGGCCAGAGAACAGATTTGAGGCTAAAGAGACCAGGTGAGCATTCCGGGTTTTTTTTAACAAGAAAAGGGACTTACGTGTTTATTGCCAGGAGGGAAACAGAGAGGCAGCAGGTACAGATATCTTAGGAAAGGTTCCTGTCTCCTGCAACAGCCAGTACAAAACCGTACGGCCAGCTTATGCTGCTGAGAGACCTCTCCTGTCTCTGCTTAACACAAACATCAGGCTGAGCAGCTGCAAGGCACCTACAGAAACGTGGTCTTGCAGGTAGGTTTGTGTGGAGGACAACTACAGATCACAGGCATCTCTAACAGCCCCACCACGACCTCGGAGCTCATTCTTATGGTTTAGGTACAGGTTAGTTCCCTTGTGTCTGGTGTTTTCAGCCACTGAAAGGTTTACATAGAAAGTGGTTTGATCAGAAAGCTGTACGACACTTCTGCTCTTTATTTCCCATATTTCTGAGATTTGTGGGAGACTTGTATGTACTGCTAATCTTCAAGGCCTTTTGAGACACAATTTATTTGCAGAGAATGGTGGGAATATCAAATAAGACATAGGGCTGGAGAGTTTCTCGAGAGATCAGCTCATCTCCCAGCAATGATACCCTTTATATTATCCTCGCACGATGTTTTCCCATGAGTATTTCTCCCATGACAGTGCTGTTTTGTCTCTCAAACTCTGGGGCAATCAGGGAATGCTAAATTAGTGACCAAGTCTTTTGCTTGGAGCAGAAAAGCACAATATTAGGCATAGACTGACAGCTCACTGTAAAGCATAAACGAAAAATTACCCTTTTCTGGGGTCATATGAAAATGTAACCTTTACGGTGCTTGCCAAGCAGGCTGTGTCCAAGGTCTGTGACAGCCAGGATTGCTGAAGGCTAAGGAGGCATGACAGATGTTTTGTGTCTGACTAGGATGTGCTCTCCTCTGGGCCCACAGTAATTTAACCTCAGTGTTAGAGGAACCTTGCAGCAGGACAGGAGCACGTGGTCACACCGCTTCACTCCAAGCTACTGTCCTCCCAAACATCCTCTTAGATTTTGACTGAATACCAGCTCTTCCTTTGTGTTTCCTCAAAAACCAGAGGTGGCATTTTATTGATGATAAAAAGCAGTTTATGACCTTTTAGGTTGAAAAACTTCAAAGGCAGGCATAGGTGCCTCTCCTGTGGTAAGTGATGCATACCTGTTGTTTGGAAAGACCTGATTTCTCTTTGTCCTTTCCATCTAGGCAATCGATTGGAAGAATCAGATTTAATGAGCATAGAAGTGAAAATTGCAGATCTGGGCAGCGCGTGCTGGACAGTGAGTCTGCTCCAAGTCTCAATCCCATGTTGATGCGGGATGCTGTGTGTTTCTTTCCATCCCACCTTGGGCGTCTGTCCTTTTACAGCTGAACAGCTATTTCAGTGTGCTAAAGAGATGCCGATTTCAGGGGTGTTATATTCAGTACTCCCAGCTCAGAGCTGGGCCCTGTACTCCTGGAGACACTGTCAACTTTGGACGTTTCTTCAGCTTGCAGTTAGTCCCTACAATCAGAAATTCAAAACCATGTTCAGTGTGAAATGTTGGGAGACAAATTCACCCTGGTGTCAGTAGGGCTGAGAATGTGCCTGCCATGCCCTGTGCAGAGTTTAGTACACATATTCAGTTCTGCCCCGCAGTTTCCTCCTCACTGTGTGGGAAGCTTATGACCAGAAGCGTCGCTGTTCCTCGTTTATAGACGCTAACCAAAGCGAGTTTGTTTCTGTTTCAGTACAAGCCTTTTTCCAAGGAGATACAGACCCAGCCATACCGTGCCCTGGAAGTGCTTCTTGGATTAGACTATGGCACTCCTGCGGATATCTGGAGCACGGGCTGCCTGGTAGGACAGGGGACAATGCTGTGCATGCATGGGAGGTGACGGATGCTAACAGGTCAGGGCAGCATGTCCCCAGCACCCACCTATACCCGCTGCATGGGGAGCATGACTTCCTTGCTCAGAAGGAGAAAAAGGCTGTCTGCACTTACTCACTTTGGATTGAAAGCATGCTGCTAATTAGTTTAAGCTGTAAGGCAATTCACACTCCACGTATGTTAACTCAGAGACTTGACTGAATCAGGCACATACTGCTTTTCATCCTGATGGAGCTAAAGGTGCTGTTTCATAACGGCACAGATCAAACCAGTGTGAATATTTCCATATTTTAGGATCAGTTTTGTGTAATAACAAGGGAAATTGGTACTATCAGTTAATGGGGAAGAAAAACTCCATGTCAGTTAGTGAATTAACAATGCTCCTCCCTTTCTAGGCATTTGAAATGGCAACTGGGGAGTGTCTATTTGATCCTCAACCTGGGAAATATTTCTCCAGAGATGATGGTAGGACTCCATCACTTTTATTCATTTCACTGACAGAAGTGTCACAATCTTTGTATCTAGATGTGTTTTCTCTCCCTCTATTTAGATCATGTTGCTCGTATTATTGAACTCTTGGGAAGAATTCCTCCTCAAATTGCTTTCTCCTGGAACAAGTCAACAAAATTTTTCAGCAGGCCAGGTAAGAATTGAAGTAAGGAAGTTTACTCTAAAAAACACTGGATCTCTGACACACTCCTCCTCAGCTCACGCAGTTTTCACCCCAAAAGTTATGTTACACAACGTAGGCTACAAGCAGGGACAGAAGACAAGCGGAGATTTCATAAAGAGCAGTAACACTCCCTGCCCTGCCTACCTTTGCAATCCAGTAGCGTTCCAGGGATGAATGCAAAATCCTGAAAAACAGTCATAGCAAACACCCAACAGGGAAAACATTTCCATTCTTTCTCCTTTGGATTTGGAGAGAATGGAAACATGGACAGGAAATAGCTACGTGCCAGGAAGGCTGAAGAGTGTGTAACCGGCTGGATTTCACCCGTTCACTGGCAGAGAATGATGATGATCAGGAATGGGGCACTCATATCCTTCCAACGTGGCTGCTATATTTAGTCTTCTGACCCAACTGTAACGTCTCTTCTGTTTTATTCTCCCCAATTCCTTTCCCTTTGACTCATTAGGCTTGAAGTCCTTGTCTTTGACTTCAAGGCATCACATGACTCCACCCTTCTGCAATTTAGTCTATCATCCTCTTTCTCTGCTTTCATGCTCCCCAGCCACAAAGCCTCAGACTACCCACAATTCATTCAATGTTGAGTGCTAGTCCCATGCTGCAGTTCAACAAGCACCTCCCTGCACATTCAGATTTTTTGCTCACGCTTATTCCTTCTATGGTGCTCAAAAGAAATGAGTTAAAACTAGTTATTTTTCTGTATTCATTCTCTGTGTGAACCAAACTGGCCTGACCTGAATCACTGCATTTACACCATGTACTCCTGGGGACAAGGATACCGTCTCGGTCAGTAGAGGTACTCTTCTGGGCCCCATGGGGCTAGTAGGCACAAAACAAATTAAACATTAGTGTCTCTTGAGCTTTGGCATTGAACTGGCCTGATGCATTCTGGGTTGCATGTGGACAGGCACAGGGAACAAGCAGAAACAGTGTTGGCCTGGCTATTCTGGGAACACTTCATTCACTCTTGGCGTGTTCTGTGCTCAGGAACAGGGAAATTCCAAACACTAGCTTGGGAAGATGATTTCTGAGAAACACCCGAGAGCCAAACCTGCAAGGGGCAGTGCAGGTGAAGCTTACAGAGAGGAGGACTGAGAGGTGAAGGAAGGGATCCTTCAGGATGCTTTGGATGAATTGTACGAGCTGAGGAGCGGTAGCCTCTCACTCTTGGAAGTGTAATTAAGGTACTGTGCTTACGCTGTCTTTGCTAGGCGCCCTTCTGCGGATCTCCAGACTTTCCCCCCGCAGTCTCCACAGCATCCTGGCGGACAGGCACAACTGGACAAAACACGAGGTTGTTCCCTTCACCGGCTTCCTCCTGCCCGCACTGCAGTACGCACCCGAGCGCCGCGCCACAGCCGCCCAGTGCCTGCAGCACGCGTGGCTGAGCGCCCCGTGACCGGCCCCTCGCCTTCGGCCCC